TTGGGAGTGACTAAAATAATTTGTTTAGGGTATAGTTGTAAAAGTCTTTTATTATTTCCTTTGGGAATCCACATTCTGAACTTAGTGACTTGGCTGTGAGTCTCCCAGGGAGAAGCTAGCTGTTCTGAAACCTACAGCTGAGGCTCTTTCCAGCTCCAGAAACACAGTAGGAACATGATACCATCCTGCAGCTCTGGCCCATGGTGGTTCCAGTGCTTTCCCTGAGCTAGCTGGTAAGGTCCAGTGGGGATATAGGCATGCCTGTTTTGTTGCATTCTGTTAATGAAATATTTCAGTTTTCACAGAGTACAGCTTAAAAAATTAAACGAAAAGCTATTTCCCAAAGAAACTCCTAGCCAGCTGTTTTTCATAGACAGGTCAATATTGGGTGTACTGGAAGGACAACACAGAAACAATGATTGCTGTTGTCTCCCAAGGCACCACTTCTGGAGAGTGGATTATTGCTTCATAGTGGAACTGTAATGGCAATGGCCATTGTGAGACAAACCCACATAATTTATTAAGACCCATTATATATTTATTCACCAGTATCTTGTGCAATCATTCTTGCTGTCCTCCTAAGTGAGTCTGTGTAGCCAAGCCCTTGTCGCCCTGGGTTGCATGGGTAAAAGCTGGGTTGTTACAGGTCCTGAGCTGTGCATTCCAAGGTACTGATGCATTCCAAGGATGAGCTGTAAAAACCGAGATAGCTGTAAAGTAATGTATTTGCTGTGGGTGAGAGGAATATTTTTGTGAAATACAGTCTTTTTTTCCAATTTTGTCAGGTTCTCCACTTTATAGTAAAACAGGAACTGTCCCCCCAGCTCTCAACCCCCCACCCCCCTTAAGACTCTAAATCACAGAAAATACAAAGCTGCTCACTGAAAAAAAAAAGTAATTGCTCTAATAAATAAAGAATTAGTCAGGTACCAGCAGATGGTGCTCCAGAGTATGTAATTTGTTTGCTGCTTTACCCAAAGCGTAAAAATCCATTGACATTTTATGGTAAAAGGAATTTTTGGAGGGACTGTCTCATTATCTTCTTGAGGGAGTGTCCTTTTATCATCTTGAGTACATAGATGATAATGACTCCGTTTGAAAAGATGACCACTATATGTAGCTCTCTGCAATTTAAACTAAAAGTGCAAAACCCACTAATAAAAAACGGCTGCAAGTTTTTAAATGTCTGGGATAACTTAATTTACTCTAGCCCAGATTCTCTTTAGAGCCTTTAGAAAATATAGAAATAATAATAGAAATAAATAATTGAACACACACCACCCAAACAATAGAACAAAAACAAATAAACCAACCCAAACAGAAACAATTAAGAGAATAGAGGCTAGAATATCTGCAGTGCAAATATCAGTCCTGAACTAGTTCTTTGCTTTCCCAGTTTCACAAACAGAAAATAATCTACAGATTTATAATTATAGGAGGTGTGGTGTGGGTTGCAAATTTTTGTGAGTGGTTTGTTTGGGTTTTTTCTGTGATTTTGTGATTTTAATTAGTTGTGGTGGTGGTGGTGGTGGTGATGCTGTTTTGAGTTTTCGGGGTTTCTTATGTGTGTTGTTTCTAGTTTTGGATTTTGGTTTGGGGTTTTGTTTTAGCTTTAGAGTTTGCACAGAGGACGTAAACCAGCAGCAGCATCAAGGAATGCTCATCCTAGATTTTCTCTAACTTACATTGATCATTTAAAATTCTAATCTGGGTTTTGTTTCCATTCTACATCAAGAGCAATAGGCTTGATTGCTTTGATTTTGACTCATCCTCAGCTGCAGATTTTAATCTAATGATAACAGTTAAGACAAACAATATTTAACGTAAATCTAGTGTAATTTCAAAACCAAGTTCTTGAAACAGTGCTCAATCACTGGGTTACTTACATATGTAAGTATCAACAATGAAACACATAAAGACATCAGAAATGGAATTTTCTCTTGGCTTGAACTTCAGGACAAAACTTTGAGAATATTGAGTCAAAAGAATATAAAAATCAAAGCAATGTGCAAAAATTTCCTTGTGTGAGGCTGTGGCCCTTTACCCTATTATGAGACCCTTCTAATTGTGATCATTGTGACTCTGGTTCCAGTGATCTTACTGTGTTTGATTACCAAGGGCTTACCTAAGAAGTAAGGCAATGTTTTGTATGAACAAGGTTGTTGCAAGTTTTCCTACAACTAGTAGGAATTTCATATAAATGGTACTCTAATCTTTCCTATGGATCCCATAGCTTCATTGACACACAGGGATCACCACTCCCCTTTTTGTTGTATGAAATTCCCTTTGCTCCTGTATAAGGGGATCTCTTCAAAACCTAGGAAGCATTAATCCTCTTAAAATAAGAAGGAAAAAAACACCAAAATACCAAACCAAAAAAACCAAACCAAAACAGGCTGGAACAAGCTTCTCTCAAACTGCGATTCCATGAGATGTCATTTTGATTTGCGGTACTTGTGTATGGATCAAAAAAGCTGCACTACCATGATAAAACATACCAAAGTAATGTAAGTTTACCTTCTCCTCCCAAAGTGGCATTAATGTAATTTGTCTGTGATATTGCAGGCAAATTTATTTTGGAACAAACATAATTTGCTATAACTTTCTACTGGATCAGGGAATGTTTGCTATGGTTAATTTGATAAAAATGCAATTATATATCTACACTTGTTCTGAATCAAGTTAATAGTATCTAGTAATTCAGTAGTTTAAAGTTCCAGTATTACTGACTCTTAAACTGCAGGTTTTTTTATGGACAGATGTCCCCTTTTGAGGGCAGCAGCATCAGCTGAAGATGTTATTGTTCGCTCCCTCTAGCTATCTTTCTTGGATGGCTTGAAATTTCCACCTTCCACTATTGTGCCTTGTAAAACTGGTCCTGGAATACTTCCTAATTCAGATCAGGCAAAATAAACTAAGTTAATGCAAACTATTACATGAATTGTTGAAATTAGTGCAACTGGTGTGCTGGCAGTGAAATACAAACCATTCACACACTCTGCACTGCAAGGGTGGCAACCTCCAGTTGCTAGCACTTGGGGTGTACAAAAAAGAAATGTTTAAGTAATGCATCTGTGAAAAGCAAAGGTCTCTCTGCAGTTTTTGTCTTTAATTGAAAGACTTATCATCTCATTAAAGACAAATTGTAAGTGAGCTAAATGCTGAACCCAGTATGAAATAAGGTGGTAACTACTGCAATGTTGGTATCACATTGTTCTCGAAGGATGGACTGTTTAGTGCTCCTGGCATATTCTATGAGCGTACTATGAGGAGCTGACCTGATGCCACTTAAAACTGAGAATTCAAACCAATAAATATGAACATCTGGAAGTCAAAGGTGTGGTGCAGGACTGAAATAGAAGCCCTGGAGCTGTAGGCCCTTTCCTCATTTTACGGTATGCAAGGGCACTGTATCTCGGAGCGGTGCTCCAGAAAATCTGAAACCTGAACAAGTCAATAGGAAATACTTGAAAAGCAGGGATGTAGTGACATTTCATTATTTTGAAGAGTTGAGGAATGGGTAGTAGTTATATTAATATTAGACTACCCTCAGTGCTTGATCTTAAAGCACTCCTCCATGTATACAAGTTTGCTGGTACAAGTCTTCAAACTGTGCTCCCCAATTTTTTGCTTGTCTCCAACCAGTTCTATTCTCCTGTGCACATATCATGATTGAGTAGAAACTATAAAATTTCTCAGACCAAAAAGAGATAGCTTACTGTTCAAGCTGGTAGGAGAAAGGCATGCCAGTTCATATTCCTTGTTTTCTCTATATATTTTCTGATGATGTATAACAGGGTCAGCTGGATGTTTTCACGGCTTGAATCCCATCAGAAGAGGCTTACAAACTCATTCTCTGCTGCATATGCGCTTTATTTGCTGGCTTATTAAAATATGAAGTCGCCTCTTTTGCCTGCATTTTGAGAGAAAGAAATGAACAAACTTTGGTCAGAGTCTGTGTGTAAGAAAGGTACTTGCAACATTTAGCTGGACAGGACTTGTCAAAGAACTCTTTCTTGTATGCTTTTGTGGCGGTTAGACAATCCTGCTCAAGTTTAGAAACAGAACTGATAATGTCTGACAGATTTTCAGGTCAAACAGGGGAGTTAATATAGCTTTCCTAGCCTCATTTTCACATTTGAATGGAAATTCAGATGTGGATGCATTCATCCCAGATTCTGGCTATAAATCCTGCTTGAGCATATCTGTAAGACAGATACTCCAACAAGGAGATCTGATTTTATACTAGTGCTATGCACTTTGAGCTGAGCGAGATGAAAATATGGTGCAGGTATCTTATCTCAAAGAGATATTTGCAGCTAGAATGTATATTGTACACTTTTACTCTTCCCGCAACCCCCATGAAGAGTCTGACATGACTTTAAAATCCTTTGATTCCTTGCTTCATACTTATTTGCTTTTTTTGAATTGGAGGTTTTCCATAACTACACCTGCTCTGCTCACTTAAGAAACATTAAAACACTGTATTAAAGTTCTGAATTTATGGTTGCCCATGAATTTCAAAGTTGGAGACAAATACAGTATAGCCTTAAAAGATATCATTGTAAAAATGTAATCAGTAGAAATGTAGAGAGATTACTGATAAACCATCACAGAAAAAAATGAATTATGTTCTACATATGTATAAATAATAGGAATAGAACTGAATTTCAAATATTAATAGATTATTGCTGTCAATAAACAAGGGTATCAATCTCATGTACTTACTATAAATAATATCCATTAGGTCTTTCTTTCTCAAGCACATAAATCCATACAATCTGAGCATGTATCAGTTTTTAAATCCATAAATATATTATGTAGCAGTTCTCTTTGAGGAGATAATGCTTTGTTCAATATTATGTTAAAATGTCTCAAATGAAGTAAATGGGCTTCTAGAGTCTTATTTATGGAGACTCAAGAGAGCAGAACATAAAACATCCAAGTAAAAAAAGTTACAAACTCAGAGAGCACAGCACCATATTCTTCTAACCAAATTGAGAAACTGGCTGAGTTTCTAGATTCATGCAACTCACTGTGTCTGAGAGGATTCTGACTATGCCAGAAACTTTAGCCTGCCAGAAAAAAAGAAAAATATAAAAATGTTACCTTAAGAAAAATAATTTTTTACCTTTTCCTTTGGTATTTTTTTGCTATATCCTGGTAGCTGATATAGAAAGACCAGATGAAGATGGCATAGATTTAATTTTATATTCACATAGGAATTAGGGCTTCTTCCCCCTCCAAAGTGACAGGATGATAGCTCAGCTGAAGTGCATCTACACCAATGCACACAGCATGGACAACAAACAGGAGGAGATGGAAGTCATTGCCATCATGGAAACAGGGTAGCACAACTGAAGTGCTGCAGTAATGCTTCAGAGGAGATAGACAATGTCTGAGAATTGGGAGGGTAGCCGTGTTTTTCAGAGAGGGTTTTGATATTCTAAAGTTTAATGACAGTAATAGTAAGCTCTAATGTTTATGGGTAAGGATCAGAGGGAAGGCCAACAAAGCAGATATCCTAGTGGGAGTCTGTTAGAGACCATCCAACTAGAATGAAGAGGTAGATGAAATATTCTGTAAACAGGTAGGAGAAGTCCTGTGGTTGCTGGCCCTTGTTCTTGTGGGGGACTTCAAGTCACCAGATCTCTGCCAGAAACAAACAGAAACAACAGATTGCAGAGGAAGTGGTCCAGAAGGTTCCTGGAGTATGTGGAAGATAACTTTCTGATGCAGCTTGTGAGTGAGCCAGCCAGGTAAGGTGCTCCTCTAGACCTGCTGTTGTAACTAGACTGGTGGATGATGTGGTGGCCAGCTTAGGACAACAACCGAAAAAGATAGTTTTTGACTCTCAGAGAAGGCGAAAGGTCAGCAAAGCCACTGCCTTGGACTTCTGGAGAGCATACTTTGGCCTGTTCAGGATCGTAGCTGAAAGAATCCTTTGGAGGCAGTCCTTAATAACAAAGGGTTCCAGGAAGATTGGACATTCTTCAAAAAGAAAATCTTACAGGCGTAAGAATACACTTGTCCCCATGTGCTGACAGACGAGATGGTCGGGAAGAAAACTGGCTTAAAAGAATAGGGAAGTTTTAAAGGAACTTGGGGAAAAAAGGTGATTTACTAGCTTTGGAAGAAGGGGCAGGAACTCAGGAGAACTACAAGGAAATTGTTAGGTTATGCAGAGAGCAAGTTAGAAGGTAAAAGCCCAGGTAGAAATTGATTTGGCCAGTGCTGTAAGAGATTACAAAAAATGTTTTTACAAATTCATTATAAGGGAAGGAGGACCAAGGAGAATTTCAATCCTTTATTGGACCCTGGGGGAAGCATTGCAGCAAAGAATGAGGAAAAGATGGCATACTTATTGCCTTCTTTGTAACAGTCTTTAATAGTCAGTTCAGTTATCCTCAGGGTACTCAGTCCTCCGAGCTGGAAGATAGAAACCAGGGGCAGAATGAATTCCCCATAATCCAGGAAGACACAGTTAGTAACTTGCTGCTTTACTTAGATGCGCACAAGTCTATGGGGCCAGATGGGATCCACCTTAGGGTACAGAGGAAGCCATCAGAAGACTTCACCAAGCCATTTTCAATCATTTACTAGCAGCAATGGCTAATGAGGAAGGTCTTGGGTAACTGGAAGTTAGCAAATGTAATATCCTTCTATAAGAAGTGACAGAATAAGAATGCAGGGGACTGTAGGCCTATAGGCATGACTCCAACCTAGGGAAGGTCATAGAGCTGGTCATCCTGAGTGCCGTAACATAGCACATGCAAGCCAACGAAGAAATCAGACCCAGTCAGCAGGAATTTGTGAAAGGCAGGTCCTGCTTGACCAACCTGGTCTCCTTTTATGACAAGTGACCTGCTCAGTGGATGTGTAAAATATTGTGGATGTTGTCTGCCTGGACTTTACTAAAGCCTTTTGTCGTGGGAATGCTATTCCCCAATTTAGTATTCCTAAACCACACACTGCCTTAAAAACACACACTGCTTCCCCTTCCTGCCCACCCCCTCAGCTGGAGGCACCAAAGGCAGACATCAAAGGTTGAGATTAGAGCAATTTATTAGAAAAAGCAATGTGATAAGAAAACAAACAGCAACATCAACAATATTAATGAAAAAATGTATAGGAAAAGATAGGATTAACATGGAAAACCTGCAACAGTAACCAATTACCAGATGGCTTCCCCCACTAATTTTTCCTACCAGAAGGAGCCCCTTCTCCCCAGAAGAGTGTCTTTTCTCCCCACCCTGATAGTGATATGAGGTAGTATAGAATAACCTGCCTCCTGGTGTGGACACATTGTTAGAGATCTAGGAAAATTACAGGAAAATCATTCCCAGGCTAGGGCTTCTCCTGGTTCTCTCACAGATCCGTTCCCAAGCTGATAGCTTGTTCAGCTCCAGTAGGGAGACATTCTCCCAGGATGTGATAATTAGGTCAAATAGAATGGAATTAATAAGATAGATTAACACCTGGTGCCAACCGTGGGACCCATTCTGAAAGACTGTTCCAGAGGTGTTTTCTCAATTATCCAATGAGCTACTGTCTTGTCTTAGCTCTGTGGAACATGCTATAAGTACAGATCGTGCTCTCAATAAAATGCCTTCTTTCCCTATGGAAGTCTGTGTGTGTTGCTCTCATTGCTCTCTCTCTAGCTCAGTAACTGGTTACTGCAAAAATTAATCATGTCCTGGTCAGACTCAGGACACCTCTGACAGCATTCTTGTGGAGAAAGTGGCTGTTCATGTTTTAGATAGGTATAATCTTTGATGAGTTAGAGCAGAAGGAAATGGCCTCTTGCCATGTGCTGCAGGAGGTTTAGATTGGATATTAGGAAATATTTCTTCAAGGAAAGAGTTGTTGAGTTTTTGAATAGGCTGTTCAGGGACATGGTTGAGTCACAATTTCTTCAGGTATTTAAAATATGTATAGACGTGGCACTCGAACATGGTTTAGTGGTGGATTTGGCAACACTACAACAGTTTGACTCTCTAATATTAAGGACTTTTCCAAGCTGTATGATTCTATGATTCTGTAAATCAGTAGCTGAGCTGGAATGAAGATGCATTTTCACTGTTAACGCTTGGTGATGTGTGAGTAGTAGAGATTACACCAGTTCTGGTGTAAATGTGACTTTAAGATATACGTTACCCATGACACACTGAGGGGAGCTAGGAAATGAGTTGAGCACAGCAAAAGATTCTAATGCAAAACTCAAAGGATTTTCTAAACAGTCCATTTCTTTATGTAGGTTTATATAATACAGGCTCTCTTTGACTGCTTTCACTCATAATAGATAAGAAATACATAGTAATTATGCACTTCCTTTCCAGTATATGTGAATATTACATCAGGTATTTAGCTTTCTGAAGCAATAACATCAGGATTTCCGGCAAAGGAGTTGGTCAAATCCAGGCTCCCATTGAAAGGCCTGCAGCAGTTTTTGAGAACTTACTGACAAGTTATGTAGTTACGTGTTTCTCTGGACAAATGCTACCACGTTTGTGGTTATGTTTGGCTATGTGGCAAACAAAAAAAAAATCTATTTAAATAAGGATTGTTTTTCTACCAGCTTTGTTGTTCCCTGCTCTGATTTGCTGCATATTTGCTTATGCTGGAAAACAACAAGGGGTAGCCTTGGAACAAAACTAGAAAGCAGATATCTGGAGTGGGGAAGAAGGAGGAAACTAGTCACCTAAGGTGGTTTTCTCACTTCAGCTAAATATGTAATCCTGATTTAAGAGCTGGGAGAACATATAAGAACACAACTTCATTGCTGGGACCATCTCCAGAATGACCAACAGTGCTGCAAGGGACCTAATTTTTCATTTGCCTCCCCTAATAATTTCATAATGACCCTAAACAGGCTATTGACTGTTCCTATGTGCCATACTAACCATATATAAAAGGTGCTGTTGTTATAATGATAAAAGCTCATAGTAATGTAGAATCATAAAATAGTTTGGGTTGGAAGGGACCTTTAAAGATCCAACTTCAACATATTTCACTAAACCATGTTGTTCAAAGTCTCATACAGCTTGACCTTGAACATTTCCAGGGATGACATATCCACAGTTACTCTGGGCAACCTGTTCCAGTGTCTCACAACATTCATCATAAAAAAAAATTCTTACTTATATCTAATCTAAACCTACCTCCTTAATCTTAAAGCCATATGTCATTGTCCTGTCATTACAAGCAGGCCTTAGTAAAAATTCTCTATCTTTCTTATAAGCACTCTTATTGAAAAACTTCTCCAGGCTTCCAGATTTGAACCTGATCTTCAGCAATGGGAGGGATTTCATCTCCCACCCCAGGCTCCATCTAAAGACTTGAGGGCTTGAGAGATGGGTGGAAAAGAGATTATCATTGAAAACTGGGGAAAAATATTTTTGAGTACGAATCATATTTGAGTTTACAATGAGGGTTTTTTCTAACCTGGTGTTAGAACTGGAACAGTGAAGTCCCCTACACGCCTGGCCTGGGTCCCCTGGGGGCTGGACAGAGCATTCATGGGGGGCCCCCAAGCTCCCAGCAGCTGATGGAGGGGAAATTGTCCCCTGTTCATGTCAGTTGTCACCTTGTCTCCCGTCTTATTTTTCAGGGAGGTTATATTTTCTTTGATCATCCTTTTTAGGCCAATGTGCTTGTAGAAGCCCTTCCTAATAATTTTTTTCACATCAACTGCTAAATCCAGCTCCAGCTGTGCTGATGTGATCCAGTCCGTATACATCCAGGGATCATCCTGGTATTATTCCCAGCATATGTGCCACTGATTCCACTGCATGTGCATTTCTTTCTTATACTTTGATTAGGAGGGTCTTTCTGACCCATGCCAGTCTCCTGCCCTCCTTACCCAATTTCTTATGCATGGGATAGAGGGCATTTTTACTCTAAGGAAAGGTTCTTAAAGATTTGTCCGCTCTGTTTGCTCCGCTTGTCATCCTTCACCAGAGGGAAGGTTCCCAAAGGGTCCCGTTCACTAATTTGTAAACCAATGGTTTGTATCAAGTTTGTATCAAGCAAAGATATAATTCACTGCAAGTTTGGATAACGTGAATAAGACATGGTTTTGCAGAGAAAACTATGGGCAATCCTGATCAGATAGTCTATTTTACTGCCTTGAGATATGAGATTTCTTGCAGTCATTCTACATTCTGTGGACATGATGTAAATTTCACTGAGCTTCAGCAATGGTGACTAGATATCTGACTGGAAAATTTCTCAGTGGGCTGCTGCAAGCATATAATTGACCATTTAACCCCTGGATCATATCCTAGTTGTGATACAATTTTGATGATGCTGGATTCCTTCAGGAGCTTACGTGGTTTTTCTCTGCCTTACATAAATCCATGAAATTTATTGATGCCACATAGGATGAATTCTGATTACTTTTTTAGTTGTCACATTGCTTGTTGCTCACCATATACACTTCGACCTTTAAATCATGCTCATGAATCGGGTGGTGACATAAGAGTAAAGAAATTATCAAAAAATATTCTTAATGAATTTTAAAATTCTGGTTTCTACATTCAATCAGTCAAAGTGATAGTGTATCTTGGGAGCTAATGGGAATGTTGGTATCTATTGAAGTCTTGCAGAAACAAAATCCTGGGTTTATTCTCATTAGCAGTTACTAGTTGACTTCATCAGCTAGGTGCTAAAATAAACAAAGAAACAAACAAAACGGTGGTAGGTCTCCTTCACTTATTTTGGACCTCTGAAAAGGCTTGAAGCACACACAAGGACTGTATATTACTTCCATAGCACAGAGGATGCTTACCATGTGGAACAGAAAACATGGAGAATTATTTGCTTCATAAGAAACCAGAATCAGCCTGTGCTGTCTAAAATGGGAGAGGAATTATAATGAGAAATGAGGGGTAGTGAAGATCTCTGGTGCTGAGTTCCACTAATAGAGTTGTAAAGCTGTCACTTGGCATCAATAAATACATGGCATCTACATGGTTTATGGATTTATGTGAGGCAGACAAAATCCATGTAAGTTCCTGAAGGAATCCAGCATCATCAAATTTTTATCAGCATATATCTGTGGATGGTAATAATACTGGATTTAGGATGAGGCAAATTTTTAAAAAGAGGCAAAATATTTGCAGATTTTAATTTGTGTGTGTGTGTGTGTGTGAATTTTCCTGCCCCTCATTTTCTCCAGTTGTAGAGGTTCAAAAGCTCAAAACTGAAAGAGGTATGAACAACCACCTAATAGGAACAACCACCTAATCTTTAAAATGGATACAATTTCAGGCATTTCTCATTTGACTGTTTTAATACTACCACCTTGGAAACAGTATTCCATTTTCTTATGTATTGCAGAGGGAAAACATCCCCCACTGTCATGTTACCTCTGTAAATGAACACTAGGAAAAACCAGTGAAACTGGAGAATTTTTAGCAATGTAGAACTTGTCTGAGAGAAATATTAAGCCTCTGCTTGCAGAGAAATCCCAACTGCCTTTCATCACAAGGTACAGATAAATTATACTCATGTCTTTGCATCACTTTACATTCCATAATATCAGTTTAATTTGATCTAAGAACGCTAATGGGATATGAATAGCCTGTAATCCGTAAAACAGGACCTTAACATAATGCTTTAGAAATCACATGACAAAACCCTCTCCATTTAGGAGGTTAATATGAAATATGGATAGGTGCAGCTGTCTTAGAATACCTGGAACAGAACATATCAAACTGTAAAAATGCCTATATGTAAAAAAGTTTAAAACTTGGTGACACCTTGCTGTATGACTCATGAGAACTGAATTAAATGAAAGAAGACAGGAAGAGCTAGAAATCTAGCCTGTGTTTATACAAAACATTCCAGCTGTTGTAATTTTCCTTCATTACTTAACATCTGTGTAAAAATCTCCTGCTTTTTTAGAGAGAAAATGTTTCTAGATTTGGCATGTAGATCTTACTGAAGCCTTAGTTCTTAACTTCAATATGTTAACTATTATGGCATTGAAATAGTTGTATTTTTAATGAGGGCTTTGATTAATCAGGGCAAAAATATCCTAAATGTTTTACTTTTAGAAGTAAAAATTTCTTACACCTTCATTAGACAGAGAAAGCACAGATACTTCTGAGTAAAGCACTTGGAATAAAGTAATGCAGCTTGCCTAATTTCAAGATACTTCAATAAGCCAAGGGAAAACAGTATTTTAAAACGGTACTAGGCAAAGGGTCCAGTATTTGACTGGGGTGAGTTGGAGCAGTTCCCTCTGCTGAATCTTTACAGTTCACAGCTCAGTACCATTTTTTGATTACACAGACCTGTAATTTCTAGTGATTTCATTGCTGCTGTTTGAGAAGTGATGGTCATCTGTACAATAAGGATGGGATGTAGGAAGCTTCTGCAACACCATGCCTTAGGATTTTCCAGCCCATGGAACTCAGCTGTAAAAGATACTTAGACTTGCAATCCTATGGTCTTTCTCGTACCTGCAGAGCAAAGTCTTGATCTCTCTTCCCATCCCATAGCACTGTAAATCATAGAATGGAGTGGAAAGGGGGAGAGCTAATCCGAAAAATAGTTAAATAATTCTGATATCTTTACTCTTTGCCAGCATCAGAGAATCTCCTTAAAGGGAACTTTAATTTGTGGCATCCTTGTTATATCCATTCAGAAAAGATTTAGCTACAATCACCATCAGCAGAAGATTAATTTAAAAAGCATAGAGCTTCAAATCAGGTAGGGAACTAAATGCACATTGATTGAATGAGAAAAGAAGCTCATCAGTGCTCCAAATATTCTGTGAAGATAAGGTGCTGGCTAAATAGTTTACTCCCCTCTCCTCTAGCAAAGATTTCGTACTTTGATTTCAGAAGCTTTTGGGATAGTAGCCTGAATATCGTCTCTGACAGACAGAGATCAGTGGGAGGTGGACTTTGAATATTAAGATTTTCTGGAATTG